CTCAAATGAGTTTTCCAGATCATCATTCCCATGTTTCCCTCCAGTTCTAGATTCAGTCCACCTGACATCTCAGCATAGCCATCAGTGCATTGATTAGGAACAACAGCAACCAACCTGCAGAGCATCTTTCACCCAAATGAAGAGAACTAATGTAAATGTGCTTTAACAGAGCATATATCTACCATAAATTGAGAATTTTTCTGATGAGTGACAACAGTAAACTTAGAGCCCCTCACCATGTATCTTAGACTTTTTTACCATGTCCTTTACCTCATATCTATTAATGCTGAATGCCACTAGCTATTTTGCTACTTGGCTACATGGCAGTGACAGATCCTCTCTCAGTGTTAACTCTTCACTCTCTTGAAACAGTAAAAAAGTATAATCAGTAAATGAGGTTTTTTGACCAGTCTTTAGATTGCACAGCTCCTTTGGTAATCTCTCTCCTTTTGAACAGCAATAATTTATTCCTGCTGTTTTCTGCCTCACTAACCAGTTATTAATCCACAAGAAAACCTCTTGTCATCCACAGAAGCTTCATTTATTTGGTAAGAAGCATCATTAGAAAATCTAAGTGCAGTGCTTCCTATTCTCTCAAAAAAAAGGGCCAAGACAAGTCTGCAGTAAGCCATCCATCCTTCAGACTACTTTTAACATGAAAGGACAAGACTACTGAGAGACTGAGACTTTGCCTTTGCTTAGGGAGAGCTGCCTTGGCTAACTTCTACGGAATATGTACACCAAACTCCAAGTTCTGCACATACCCCAACTGACTCAGACACTCAAAAGATCCTTACAGGATTTTTTTAAGAATCCTAAAACCAGGATTAAAACCTGGACTCCAGTGAGGTCAGTATTCCCACCATCACCTGTTTTCCCAAAATGCTCCATTTTCTGTTTTCTTCCTTCCTAACAATTGAACAAAAATGGAACTCTGTCATGAAAAACAAGTGCCTATTATTAATGTAAATTACTTCACCTTAAAAGAATCCTAAAACTCCAGTTGTTGAGCTTTTTCGTCACCATGATCACCACTCCTCTAGGTAGTCTAGTGATTTTCAGACTGCGCTCCACAGAGTACTCCACTGATGTCCATGAGAAGTCAAAAAAACAAGCAAGCCTTTGCTCAGCAGGCTTCAAATCACTAAGCAGTCTGGAGAAGGTGAAAATCACCATTCTGTCTATTCTTTCTCCATACCAGCCTGCACAGATGTCTTACCTCCTAGTCAAATCCCCTCCTGCACTACCTGATGATTGCACACATGCAGCCCCCTGACACACACAGAGCTACCACAGAAAGCTGGAGTAGTCTCTTCCTCTGTCCCTCCCCCAGTGTCCCAAGGCAAGTACTTCATCCTCTATGTTCATGTCACACTGGCACTCTCTAGTGTAGGGATACTCGTCACAACACCCAGCAAAGTAAGGATTTTGAAGAAGTCAAGGTAAAAGCCCCAGCACACATTTAGTTAAAATTAAAAAAAAAAAAAAAAAAAAAAAAAGAACAAAATCACATGAATATTCACATTTTTTAAGGATTTAGAAAATTTATTTGCTAAGACCACCAAACAAAAGCTACCATTTTCTTTCTCATTGTACACTTCTCCTTCTTTATTCATACATACATCTAAATTTTTGCTAACTCATCTGAAGTTTAAGCATGTTATCGTTAAAAAGAAATTCACAAAAGTAAAACTCAGAGTGAAGTCTTTATGAAATAATGAAGAGGAGTGCTTTGCATAAGGCCATACAAAGTACAGTATATATTTCTTAAATGTTTCCAATATAGAGGTGATTATTGTGTGTAGTTCATGGGGCTTCTTTGCTTAAGTTACTCCCTTTTTAATAATAAAACTAGGTACAATTAATCACTGTGATGATTTTGCTTTTTTAAAATTATTTTTTTTCACCAAGCAAAGCAAGGAACACTGTAACGCCAAAGGAATCAGAGTTATATCCTTAATGGACATTTGAGAAGGAAAGGGAGAAAGAGGGAAAGAGGGAAAGAATCTTAACATATGGTTCTCTTAAACTACATATTTTAAAAATTTTGTTTAAAAAAAACCCTTGGTGTTCCGTAACAGAAGAAAATGTCCCACACTACCTTAGGTAAGTCTTTGTTTTTATTTGCAGCAAAATAAATAGTTATACACAAGGCTATATTGCTTAAAGAACTCATTTTTAAATTCAGTTCCTTGAACATCTATTATGGACTATTGGACTAATTCAATAAAAGAAAAACAAATCAGCTGAGCTCCTGGTATAAGCACAAAGCTGAATATAGCTACAGTACATCAAGGATTGGTAGGGAAACCTGTAACGTGCTAATTGCTTCCAAAGTGAAAGGAGAAATCATTATGGTTGCCAATCAAGAATCTGCCGGGCAAATTTCAATTAAATATGGGGTAAGTAAGGAAGTAAGGCTGTAGGTGAGGAGTGATCCGTTAGACATTACTGGAAGGCAAAGCACACACAGCGTCATTTCACAATTAGCAAGGACAGGCACAAAAGAGTCTAAGAGCTGAACCACTGTATAAATTCCACATGATTCACTTTAATTGCATTTCTGGCAAGAGTTTCAGTGGGAAACAGGCATCTATTTCTTTAACATCTATCTCACTAACTGCTAAATGGAAGTATAATTCAAAAGCTTCAACTGTGGCAACTAGCACACCTAACAAATCTGGAATTTTTTCAGCCTCTCTTCTTTCTAGAACATTAGCCTCTGCCTAGTTATGATAAATATCCCATTCATTACTTCCTGGGCTCATTTACCAAAAGTAAAAGACTAAAGATAAATAGTTAGAATTGGCTAATTAACAACAAAACCCCACCACCTCCTTATGATGGCAGTTTAACCAAATGGAAATAATCCCATTAAAAATGTATTAGATAAATCTGTGTATTTTTCTATTCATACGCTTTCTAAAACCAGATCACTAAATTTCCATAATATCCATTACACAGAGTTACTTACAATTGTCTCCAGTGAGTACTTCTCAGGCCACAGGTCATTAAAGAATAAACTATTTATCACAAATATCCCAGATGTGCTATTTGGGCTTTGTGATTAATTATATATAATTACATTATCCCTTCTGTTTCGTGAATGCAGTAACTACACAACTTTACACACACCATAAATTTTGAAATCTAAACCACAACTGACATTTCCTACTATTATATTCCATTATCACATGATTCAGTCTTGAGACTTAATATTAATTTTCTTTTCAATATTCATGCCTGTAAAAGCTTGCTTCACAAAATTCTGAGTGCAAAAAGGTCCTAAGTAAGCTGTAATATAAATTTACTTCAATATTAATTCTTTTCAACATAAAAACATAACAGAAATTCTATTTTGCAGTAACTTTCAATCACCTTAAAACCCTTGATCTGTTAGAAATTAAATGACTGTATTTCTTGCATCTCTTACCTACCATAGTGTAGCAAACAGAACATGGTTAAGCAAATGGGCAGGAAAGAGAGCGTGGACAGTGTCATATACCATACAACTTACAGCAGCAGTCACATTAACATTTCTCAAAAAAAAGTACCCCTTCGAAGAGGTTGGTTAGGAATTTTGACAACAAAATCCCTTCCAGATCTGGCTGGTTTACAAGGGGGCTCTGCTGAAGAAGTTCAAATCCTTGGCCTTCTCTTAAAATAGCTTTCATATATCAAGAGGAGTGAGCCACCTGCAAGGAGAACCAGGAAAGGATGCCCTCCACCAGCAGCCATTACCATGATCTCATGCTGAGGAAGAAACGAAGCTCAAGGGAGGTCAACAGCTACACCCACTCCTCGAATGGGCTGCCTGACACACCAGACGGAGCATTGGCTATTGGCAAACTACCAGCAAATCTGCCGGATGGTCATGGACCTGTCAGGAAAAACTCCCTGTAAAGCTGAGAGGCGGTCTGGGAGCTGCCAGGGGCTCGGCAACTCCCAGAGTCAGGCTCTTCCCAGCTGCCAAAATATCACCCTTCCCAAAACCGCACAGCATTACTATGGGAACATGCACCATGGCTTCCAAAACTGCTCCACATTTCCAGGATGCTGATGCATAAAAGGAAACTACCAATTCTTTGGCTTACAGGGGCTGCCACAAGGAAATGCCACCAAATCCCAGATGAAATAACGAAATAGAGTTTGCTCCCTGATGCTCTATGCCAGCACTGTAGGTTTGGATCTGAGGCTGCTGCTGGGCTGAGGCCACCAGGTGCCCATCCCCAGGCTTCTGCTGTTGTTTTACCATCCCTGACTACAGGTACATATTTCTTCCACTGGGGTAAACTAGTTTTTGTTTTTATTATCATCTTGACTCAGCGACTGAGTCCATTCCGAGAAACCTTTCCAGAGCAATTTATGTAAGAAGCATACTGAATGAAATCAATGGACCAACTTTCAGGAGGGAATCATCCTGTAAGGAAAACTGTCAAAAATCCATGATGTGTATGTGCTATCGTTATCAGCCTTCCATCCAGTCACTACCTTACCGTTTTGGTATTTAAACTGTAAGAAACTCACAGTGCTGTAAGCGTTCTCAGATTTTTTTTCCCAATTCATTGAATTAGCAAACCTGAAGTAGTTCAGACTGCGTGTCATTACTGTTTACTTGAGTTCCAACTCCTAGGGCTTTATAAACACCAAATGTAAACCGGTCCTGGCCCCAAACATTTTGCACAACGACATTATCCAACTGGCTTTCCTAATATCTCAGAAAGAAAGCAGAGACACTTCATTTCTTTGAACAAATTATCCACTAAGGCACTGCAGAGAATTCCTTAGAAGAAAAATAGTTGTTTATTGTGTGCTAGAGAACAGAGGATAATACCGGAAAGAAATTAAGCACAGAAAAGCCTCCCAGGAAAGTGATACTTCCAAATATCTTTTGCGACCGAGGGGACGCAGCAGCCCTGTCGGGCCCGGCACGGAAGAGCCGCTACAGAGCGGAGCGTAACAGGAACTCCCACAGCCCCATCCCCGCCGCGGCCCCGCCCGGCAAGGCGGGACACCGGGCCCGCCCGCCCACCGCGCCAGGGGAAGGGCCGGGACTGCTTCCGGAGCGTGACCTTCGCGGGTGGGTGAGTGAGTGTGGGGCGGGCGCGGGGCTTTCCCTCCGGCGGCGGCACCGCTTCCCCCGCTGCCTTGGGGCCGCGGGCGGGGCAGCGCCGGCGCCCCGCCATGGGAGCGGCGAGGCGCGGGGAGGTGCCGGGGGCGAGGCGTGGTGGGACACCCGCCGTGTGTTGTGTCTAGGTGGGCAGCGAGGATGGCGGCGCCGACGAGGGAGGAGAGGACGGCGTGCTGGGGGGCCCGGGACGAGTTCTGGCAGTGCCTGGACAGCCACGGGGATGACGCCACCAAGTGCGAGAAGCTGCGCCGGGCCTTCGAGTCGCGCTGCCCGCAGCAGTGGGTGAGCACCGCCTGAAGCTGCCTAAGGCTGGACGAACAGAGCGTGTCCTTGCCAAGCTGTAACAGCAGCGACACGGAGTCACAGCTACCTTGTTAAGGATGGCAGCTCCAGCTTCGAGGAGTGCAGAGCGTGGGCAGCCTTACGCTTTCCCGTGGATAAGCCTGCACCCTTGCTGGGCGTAAATTGGTTTGCCTCATTGGGAAATGAAAGCTCCTGAATGGACCACTGACTGGCCCGGGAACTGTGAGAAGCAGTATATAGTACAAAGGGAAAGGAAAATAAGATCTCAGACTTTCAGATAAATACACAGCTATACAAACTTTATTGTTTAATTAGAAAAAAAAAGTGTTCAAAGATACTTGGAAGCCTGTAGAAGTGCCTGTAAATTGCTACTACTAAAGAAGAGAGGCCAGTATGGAAGGGAGCTGACACACAGGGCCTACGGTTGTGTGGCATCTTGAGACAGGCATCTGATACCTTCTTGTGCATAAAAATACCCTTTTTCATGCAGCGTAACGTCACAGTAAGCCACATGCCTACATATAACTCACTCATGTTGTGCTTTTTAGTTTCCTTAGCTCAGGTTATAACCCTTTTTTAATAGGCCTTGCCCTTTAGTGACAGCAGTGTCTGAGAGGCTGAACAGTTCCCATTGGAGCTAGTAGACTGAAGTCAGTTAAAACCAAGTACCTTCACAGTTGCTGCACTGACTTATACTTCAAACACTGCACTTCTGCTGTACTTCATCTCTGGTGATGGTGGTCTCATCAGCAGTGCTTTGCACCATGCACATCAGTGGCTCTAGGCAATGAATTCAGAGGTTACATGGTCTGCAATGCCACAGAAAAGCTGCTGGACTTCCTTTTGCATCACAAATAATCTTTGTTGATAGCAGTGAAAAGAGCAAAGCAATAGTGCTTTTACTAGATCATGAAGTAACAGGATGGTGAACTTCAGGAAAATGAAGTTCACTTCCAAAAGGGTCAAAAAGCCCCCACAAATCAAAAACCAAACACGTCATTCTTTAGTCTTTTATTTCAACAGAGGAAGAAACTCCTAACTAGTGTAGTAAAATTCTCAAGTTCACTGATAATTCCATCGTTGTCCTGTGATACATAAAACCCCTTCCTCTGCTAGTTTCTTCTGCTGAACATCTTTTCTCTTTTTAAACAGGTTAAACATTTTGACAAAAGAAGAGACTTCTTAAAATATAAAAAAAAGCTTGAAACAGAAGGGTATATTCCTCCAGAAGCTGCTGGAAAGTCTTAGGTACTCTGCTTTCATAATAAATCAAGTAACTATAGAAAGAAGAAGCAAGAGAAAGCAATAGGAGCTGCCTGAGTGCAAGAACTGGTAACCTGACTGTCTCCCTGAAATGCAGACTGCTGTTCTTGTTGCCAGGTCTCACATGTCTGCTGAAAGATGGTTGTGTACAGCTTATGGTGCAGGGTTGTTCACAAATCTAAGGGTTTGAACGTATAATTATTAAAATTCTTTCACACAAATAATTGTTTAATACTGCAATGTATATATTCTAAGGAGAAAATAAAATTCTTTTTCAGTAAGTGAGCCGGGTTTTCCTTAAAAAAGTCCATTCCAACTTTCACGTCTTGTCAAAAGGAGGTGGTGGTATAATGCAATTTGTATTTGTCATTTACCAAGTATTTCAAAGCATTTTAAAATACAGTTTAAGTCAGACATTGGTTTATATAACAGTGGCCATTAGAAGACCTAATGCATCCTGTGCATATGATATGTAATCTACCTATTTTGAGTATGCTTACTTTTTATAAGCAATAGGAATTTTTACATTAGTGATAAGTTTTCAATCAGTATCTCTGCTAGAAGTATGTCAGTTTATTTATCATGATTCTCGTGGTCTTTTGTATAATTTGATTACCTTACTGATGCAGCTCCATTTAAACATACAGAGAGTTTACAGTAGGATTAATAAACTTGACTATGGAAGGCATTTAAACAAGGGGCACCATTTAATGTAATTATGTAAGTGAAGTTACCTTCCAAAAATTATATAATCTAGTAGATCTATATGCTGGAATCATTAATACTTTGGCTAAAGGCACCACTTCAATTTAAAGCATAGTCACCATAACTGAAGTAACTGCAGTAAAAATCCTGTGGTTTTGAGTGTGGGATTGTTCACAGTACTGCACTGATGTTCTAACAGTAGAGATAACGCTCACACACCACATGCAATATAAATAGTATTTATTTCCAATGCAACAATTTAAGGAGGTAAAGTATTAAGGCATTTAAAAGTCACCCTGAACACTACAGAGAACAAAACATGCAAAAGTTAAGATCCTCATTCACCCTGAGTTTGTATCTCATCTACTCAGAATTTCATGTCGTAGCACCATAGGAAGCCACCTAGCTGTACTATAAGGCACGAGACTCTTGGCAGTTATTTTTGTTGTTTTTGCTTGATCACTTGTTGCCTTGTGTACTCCCAGATCAGCAGAGCTCCGCTTACGTGAACATTGAGTGATCGAATAATACCCTGCTGAGGAATTTCCACACAGACATCCAGATGGTGAATCAGGTTTGCTGGGATTCCTTCATGTTCGTTTCTAGTAAAGAAGAAACAGTAATTTGTATCTGAGAAAGGACAAGTGTTCCAGAAAGCAGAAAATACAAATGTCACAGCAGCATCCAAATACCCTTTGACAAATATGGTGCATCTACCTACAAGTGTAACTGATGACAACAAATGATTTTTTTAAAAACAGTAATACAAGTACAAAGAAAACATGGGGAGGCCTGACTAAGCTTTGATGTAGGAAAACCAGTTCACTGGTCCAGCAATAGCTGAACACCTAACATAAAGACTCTCTGCTTTTATTTTTAAACTCCATATATAGCAAAATGACCAGCTATAGATGAAATGACCAGGGCATGAAGCTGCTGGCACAGCAGGCAAGCTCACCTGCTCACTTTACCTTTGGCATAATAATAATGGCCCATCTTCGTGAACGAAGATTTGGGGAAAGGTCTTTTACCTTTCCAGCCTGCGCAATGGATTTTTTTTTTAGGTGAGACACAGCCTGCGCTGAACTGAGCCCACCCTTTAATCCTAAGGTTCATCTGCCGGGGCCAAGCAAGCTTGGACAATGGCAGTGAGGTCCTCAGGACGTAGGTTTGTTTAGAGTGTCCTTCTCATAGATGGATGGCCACACAGGGCTAACGACCTCCATCAGGCCAGGAGACCGGGGAATCGAACCCGTGGTCGCAGCAGTGAAAGTCCTGCACGCTAACCACTAGGCCACCAGGGGTCTCACCTTTGGCATAAAGGAATGTCAAAAACTCATTTGAAGCCTTGAATTGGAAGTTTTACCTTTTCAGAACTGAGCACATCAGAAGATACCAGAGGTTACCAGTAATTAAAACTACATTGTTAATTCAAAGAAAACAAAGTGACTATGAGAACTACATTTTGAAGACAAGCTACACATAAAAAAGTTGGAAAAAAGGTATTTCTGCTCACACTATCCTAAAAGGAATAGGCAGGCCCTTCCTCCTGGTCTCACTCAGAAGCCCTGCAATGCCAGCTTTCTGACTTGTAGGTGCTTTACTGTGGATTTCTTTAAGTAGCCTCCCCTTTGCATCACATCTGTTTGTCTGCTTATAGACACCGTTTGCTTGTCCCATCCTCTGCTTGTACTGCAAAAACTTCATCTTGTGCTCAATCCTTAAGTTTTAAAGCATCTCCCAGCTATGCACACTCGCCCTCTGCTCCAGCCCTCCTCACCAAGTTAAACAGAGCAAATAGGCTTAACTCCTTCTTGCTGAGCTCACCACAGCCTACACATACAGGGCCCCATATAACTAAACTGAACAGATGATATCTGTCACACCTGGAAAAATACAATCCATGCTGTTGCTACCTTCACCCATAATAAAAAGGAGTTACAGTGTATGGACAGGTTATTAAGTATGAGGAGAAGGATCATTCAGGAGTAGCTATCAATGCCTCCTACTCCTTAGCACATAAAGCCAAGCTCTACTCTTTCCATAATCACTTCCCATTCTAAAATCACCTTTACCAGTGTCACTTGGTTTTCATATGACCAAACTCAGACTAGAGGAAGGGGTGGACTGCAAGAGGTAGATTTACAAAAAACATGTGTTCTTACCCCAGCAATAATAGTGACTTCTCTGGGAAGCAATATTCTGTAAGATCAAAACTTTTAGCTGTCTGCTCCACACCAATAATAGTGTAGCCTTCTGTTTTCTTCTGCTGTAAATAATCAACAAGCTGACATGGTTTCACCTACCCATTAAAAGTAGAGAGAAATACAAAAATATTTAAATAACACCTTTTGTAAACCTCTGAAGTTACTGTAAAAAACAATTTACGTGGACAGTTTTTAAGATTATTGACTTTTATCCCCAAAGACTCTGTCCGTATACACAGCTCAACATTTTATAAGCTCTTCAGCAATAACACAAAAGGTTAGTAATGCCACAAAAATGTACCCCACCAATACAAGAAAGGTTTTTCTAGGCTTCTGACAGCTACAAGCCTTGTATCTGAATGTAAAAGAATCACTCTTGCATAGTGACAGTTCTTATTTAACCTGAAATTCCTTCCCAATACAACAGAACAGCCAATACTGAAACTGAATTGCCTTATATGCCTGAATTGCAACTTGGGATAGCTCAAAGTGAAGAATTTCTTAGTTATCTACATCCTACTCTCTAAACTGCTTATTTGTATTAAAATGCCAATTTCTTCATGCAACAGCAGCTCTACCATGAGTACACTTCTGTACAGAGATCAGGCACGACAACGTATCCATCAGCATTCTGGTTTAGGCAAAACACACTACAGCTATCTTGTTCTGAAAATAAACACCATGGGGGAAAAAAAAAATCAAAAATTTCCACTGAGTGTTTCAGATGACTTAGAGCTGACCTGGAAAAACTGATAACTAGATAATAGTTCTAAAAGTTGGCACAAGTTAACATCAGGCAAACTCAGAAAATCACTATGAAGTTACCAGAAGCAATGGACAAAGCAAAATAAATAAACTGTTGTTCAACTTTTATAAATAAACATTAAATCCCAAGACACCACTATAAAACAGAATAAGATGTAACAATGACAGCTCACATAATCAGTTTTCCACAGCAATAAGAAGCTGAAAGTATTTTTTAAATTCTTTTTTTTTATGAGGTTGACCCACAGCTTATACCAAAACATGCAAGATTAAGTGTCAGAGATAACAATGGGTGCTTCCGTTAAATAAAAAGTTCATTTTTTCAAGATAAAACGTAAGACTCTGCGCTATGCATCTGACAACTGAAGATGCTCAGTACACTTTTTAACGATTAAAACATTTCCATTCACCTCAACAAGAGGGAGCCACTGCTCTGCAGAAACACTAAGATGCTGGAACTGCTTATCTTGTATATAATGAAGACTGCCGACAACTAATGCAGATGCCCCAAATATTTCACTTGTACGACATAAACCTACAAAAACAAGACATAAAGTAATTTTTGTGTAGAAAATAAACACCAAGCCAGAATGCTTTAGTAAGTGAAAATGACAAAGAATGCAAAAGTGCAATGTTACTTTAGTCATCTATTTTTATCAGTTTCAGGTCTGTTCCAAGCCATGCCTTGTTCCATTAAAAAACCAGAAAAAAATGTTTTGTAACTTATCAGAAAGATAAAAATTAGAAAAGCACTATGTCTGACAACATCCTTTTACAATACTAATTACACAAAATAAGGGCTAGTGTCCCAGCCTTAGCAAGGATGGATGGTTAGACACATATACACACAAGCTTAAGCTTTAAATCCAGTATTTGTTAAATGAAAGGCTTGAGAGGATGACACATGACAACATTACAATGCAGACAGCACCAGCTTGTGGGCTTACTTTTCATGAACAGCCTCACTGCAGTTATTTAAACTAACAACATCAAACACAATGGCAGTAAAGTAGTTGCAGGATTTATTATATCACAGCTGACATGCCATCGTGAAGGAGCTTTTAATCAGGAAAGGGGACTTTAATGACCAACACTCATGAGAATCTAGTAGGTCTACAAGATTTGTTTTACTTGTTAAGGAGAAAAATGTATTTCCTTTAACCACATACACAGCTGAAAAACTCAACTGTAACAAAGAATATAAATTCAGTAAAAAGCTGAGCATGATTTACAGGAAAGTTCCACTTAATTAATGCATGCTATGCGTAGATACTTCTTTTTTTGCCTTAAAATGTAACTATAGAAGACCTCTAGTCTGAAGAAGGTAGTATTTCTTTTTTCAGGATAATGAAGTATTTTTCTGAGCAGTACTTAAATTTTCTAATTCACAACATAAAATGAAAATAATTTCTATCTAAGTGGGCTCTAAGGTCTAAAATAAAACTTTAAAAGTGTGAAATCAACCTTACCTCCTAAATTGGTAGGTTTATCAATAAGTGAAGCCACCACGATCAATCTGCTGTTTGATTTACCAAGTTTAGCAGCACGATCCTGAAATGCCATTTCCAAGTCTAAAGTAGGAGTACTGTTTTTCCAGGGTATAA